CCTTCTTTGCCTGCAGCCCGCACCGCTTCTCCGGAAAGCCCCATCCACCGTGCTCCAGTGACACACACTCTTTCTCCGCGTGTCTCTCTCTCTCTCTCTCTCTCTCTCTCTCTCTCTCTCTCTCTCTCTCTCTCTCTCTCTCTCTCTCTCTGACTCCATTTTTCGCCTCTCTTTACGTCCGCTCCTTCCGACACTTTCTAATATCCCTCTCCCAATCTATCGGGGCTCTGTCCCTCGCCCCCTCCCCTTATCGGCAGGGCTGGGCTGGATCCCAGGAGAGACACGGTTCCTGGACACGCGATGGCGGCATACACGCTTTGGTTTGGCCCCGAAGAAACTTCCTCCCCCCCCCCAAGCATTTCTAAGCCCCCTCCACACTCACAACCCCCTGCACCTTCGATTCCCCCCTTCCCTCCACACACACACACACACACACACACACACACACACACACACACACACACACACACACACACACACACACACACGCACACGCACACCTACTCGATTTCCGCACCCATTCCAAGGATTCGTACAGACTCTCCCCCTTTGTCACATAGGACGCGTGCGGATCCGCTGCCCCCGGGGGCGGCCTATCTCCCCAGCAGACTGACTCCGAGAGTCGCGCCGTCGCCGCTGTCTCTCTCGCCCTCGCGGGGCGTGCCGGAGACCGAGCCGGCCCAACCAGCCTGCCGGCGTCCGTCCCCGCGGAGCGGCGCCGGCGCGGAGGCGGCGCGGAGGCGGGCGCGGAGGCGGCGCGGAGGCGGCGCGGAGGCGGCGCGGAGGCGGCGCGGAGCGGCGCGGCGCGCGGAACGCGCGGCGCGGAGGCGGCGCGGCGGTAACGTCGCTGCTTTTCGCAGGTTGGTCAAAACCTGCCGCGCCTACTCTGTGAAACCGCGCGCATGGGGCGGCCGTACCTCACGACGAGTCGCCTGCGAAACCATTACCAGGGAATTAAGCCAATTATAAGACGAATATTTAAGGACGTGCAAAGGAAAAGGGCCGGGACTTCCCCCTCCCCTCTGCTTGGCCTGGCCGCCTGATTTACGGTGGCGCGTCCTGCGGGCCGCGACCGCAGCGCGCTGTCGTCGCCCCGTCCCTGTCGCACTCGCGGGCCGCGCTGGGCGGGTGCGAGAGAGACGGGGCGACGAGGCGCGGCGCGGCACCGGCCCGCTGGCGACGCGCCAACGCACCACTCGCAGAAGGGAGAGCGCGAAGGCAGGTGCACAGTGGGCCAGAAGACCGGTGGAGGCGGACAAAACTCTAGACGCGTTCTGAGCTCCAGAGTCGCTAAGCAGGACTCGAACCGAACGTGTGACCCCACCAATGGATCGCTCTCCGAACGAGGAATCCATTAGTGGGGTCACACGGTCGGTTCGAGTCCTGCTTAGCGACTCTGGAGCTCAGAACGCGTCTAGAGTTTTGGCCGCCTCCACCGGTCTTCTGGCCCACTGTGAGGTGCACGCTCCGGAAAGCGGGGAGGGAACGCGGAAAAGCGGGAAAGCGGGAAAGCGAACCGGCTTGCCGAACAGTGGGCCAAAACCGACAACAGATGCAGCAGCACTAGGACCTACCTAAACTAACACAGCTTATAGGCTTGCTTATAGGCAACATCGGCCCGCATCAGCTGCAGTGAAGGAAGTTCCACTTTCCATTCTCTCTTTTCCTGCGCCGTGAGGCAAACGATGTAGCTCTCTCTCTCCCTCTCTCTTTTTCCCTCTCTGGGTGGTGCTCCTTGGGCGCCTTTGCCGACTCAATATGGCAGTTTAGGTTTACACGGCGGGCTGTCGGGAGTTTACTCATTAAACGCTTTCTGCTGCTGCTGCTGCTGTTGTTGTTGTTGTTGTTGCTGTTGTTGTTGTTGTTGTTGTTGCCCAGACAGCCAAACCGCGAACCACCCCCGTGGCCGGAAGCAGTAGCGAGTTCAGCAAAGTAGTCGGCCCGCGCCTATTCTCACTTTTGCCCCGCTTCTTTTCGTGCGAGCGAACTCCGCGGCGGCGGCGGTGGGGCACCCCCCCCCCCCCCTCTCGGACAACGAGAGTTTCTAGCACTCGGCGGAGCGAGCTGCAAAAGTGCACCATCTTTCGAGAGAGGGAATGAGGGGCATGCAGCATTCAAGTTCCACGCGCAGACCCACCTGACTGACCGGCCATTGTTCGCGGGGATGAGCCACGCCACTGTCAAGGCCGCGGTCGTTACGTCATTCAAACGCGGCCGCCTGCCAACGCACGCACAGTGGGCCAGAAGACCGGTGGAGGCCGTCGAAACCCCGGACGCGTTTTGATATCTGCATCCAGTCTAAGCTCCATGTTCGGCGCTGGCGCTGCCACTGATGTGGTACCACGATAGCGCAGTGGTTAGGGTGCCGGAATCGAGAGTGGCAGGTCCCGGGTTCGAGGACAGCTAATGGACAAATTTTTCGGCAAGTGACTTCTGAAAGCAAATCGAATGAGGTTTCAAAACCTGCGCTGGCACGGCGGTGAACCCAGTGGCTGCGTGGTTACGAGCACTGGCTGGGATCAGGCAGGTCCCGGGTTCGCGACCTATTATACGAGTTTTTTCGGCAGTCGGCAACCGTTTAAGAGACGTTTCAACAGCAGCACTCGCGCTGCGACTGGCGTGGCGTCCCGGTAGCTCAGTGTTTAAGAGCATGGTTCGGGAAGTGGCAGGTTTCGGGTTCGAAACCACTCCATGTACAATTATCGGCGGGTCTCCTTGAGACTTTCGTATTGCCACTTTTTGCCGTCAATTTTTTTCAACTCCGCGCGCACGCAGTGCGATGAATTTGGCGCCAAGATTGTAAAGAGGCATTCCGGTCGCGTTGCGAAGGAGCGAGCGCCGACCTACCCCGTTGTCGATTGCGAAGGGGAGAGGGAGAGAGAGAGAGAGAGAGAGAAGAGAGAGAGAGAGAGAGAGAGAGACTGATGAGTAGCGAGCGAGACAGACGAGCGGGGGCGTGTCCTCGGCCGGCAGTGCAGCCCGACGGCCTCGCAAACTCGCGCTGCAGCGGCTGCGCTGCGCCACGCCGGTGGCGGTGAAGGACTGGTGGAGGGTGCAGGTGGAACCTGGTGGAACCTGGTGGAACCAGGGCAGTTTGAGTGGGGGAGGGGGAGGCCCGCTTGCCGGGTCAACTTGAAGACAATGAGCACCCCTGTAACATGGAGAATAGACGGATGGAGGACCGGCTGTGGGTCCGAAACAGACTGCCATCCGTGTCGGCGGTTGGGAGTACCCCGCGCGGCCACCGCGCGGCGCTGCGATCGCTATGCCTCCACTTCGCCCCACCTGCACCTGCCGAACGCCCACAGATCCATAGCCATCGCTCAAAAAATCCCATTCTTTCGCCATCTCACAAATGTCATCATTATCCGACTTCATAATCACGTTCTAGGAGGACTGGGGTTTTACTGCACCTATGATTCGCAGTTGACAGTCCATCGTCATGCCCAATTGTTACGTCCAGTATTGTCATTGGGGTTTCGGGGGAAGCAATCGGGCTGTAAACAGTGTCACGACAAAGTTCATTCCTTTCGTCCCCAGAGTGAGGTAATATGGGCTTTTATAAAATTTTATTTTACTTTTTTAAGTTTTTTTATAAAAAATGTTAAATTTTTTAAGGGGGGGTTCTGGTGAAAATGCTATTTTTCCTAAATTGGTCCCACTGTGAAAAATTTGTTACAAATTTTATGTTTACCAAGTAATTATTAAAATTTTCATGGGGAGGCACATTCTGTGCCCGGACCCAGTCGAAGAGTCTTTTTGGGCCTATCTTGGCTGCATCTCAAGAAACCTTCTTGCGCATACTATTTTGTCGTTAAAGATTGGCCTTGACACTTTTCACTTCTTCGATTCTTTTTAAAAGATGCTGGCATGCACAACTCAAAATGTAAATTACATTTTTATTCATAAGCTTTCTAGCCAAGCATTTCACTATAATTGATCAAAAATGTACAAAATAGACAAATTTTAGGGACTTTTCAGCTTAAGAAGCTTACAATTAATAATATAATGGAAATTTTGAGCTATGCATGCCGGAATCTTTTAAAAATGAATCGAAGAAGTGAAAAATGTCAAGGTCAACCTTTTACGACAAAATAGTATGCGCAAGAAGATTTTTAAGATACAGCCAAGATAGGCCCGAGAAGACTCTTCGACTGGGTTCAGAGCCAGGCATGGGCCTTCAAAAGTCAAAATTTAGTCTCCTCGAAGAAAGATTTTATATACCGAACACGTTATGACAGTGGGATCTATTTAGAAAATGGCAAGATTTTCACCTGAACCTCCCCTAAAAATTTTGTGTCTATGACAAATTATATGTGTGAAGAAGGCATGTAGAATGTTGAGGGATAAATTGTACGTTACCACCAGGCACCTTCAATCATCCATTACATTGATTCCACTCAATTGGGCTGAAAAGTCGAATGACACTGTCCTTTCTCAGTCCTTCCGGAATGTCAGTGAGGGTTTTTAAGAAGCTGACACTAGAAAGCAAACGTAATTTCAGAAATTTTAGGGAGCAATGTAATGGTTTAGTGGGCTCATCGCTATGGAGAGAGCGGCAGAGTGGAGGCATAGCGATCGCAGCGCCGCGCGGTGGCCGCGCGGGGTACTCCCAACCGCCGACACGGACGGCAGTCCAAAACGCTGGCGCGCGGGCCCAGAGCCGGTCCTCCATCCGTCTATTCTCCATGCCTGTAAGTTTAACCGCGCGGTGGTGGTGGTGTGTGCGGGGCGGAGCGGGCGTGCCTTGCTTGGCAGTGCCGTGCCGTGCCGTGCCGTGCCGTGCCGTGCCGCGCCGCGCCCCGAGGTGCAGCAGGAAGCGGATGCGACCCGCATGGGGCGCCGAGACGCTGAGGCTGCTTGGCCTCTTCGCCGCCAGAGGGCGCCACTGCTGCAGTGCAATCCCTCCGCCTTCCTCGCCGTCGCCCAGCACATCAATCGGCGGCCATTTCGCGCGCCATGTAACGTCCACTTTCGTCCGTTACTTGTTTAAATTTCCCTCTCTACTACTGTCCTCTGAATTTTCCATACCTCGTTCCGTTTCGATCCTCTTTTCGACTTCGGTTCGTTCTTTACTATTTTTCATACTGTCACCGGAAGTTTTCGCCCTTCCGTATTTTCTGGGTTCTGTCATTCAGCTGGGGACTTTCGTTCTGTTAACAACTTCCAGTGCTCGCTTCGGCGGCCTGGCTAAGTTCGTCATGTAGTCCCACTGTTTCCCTAACCCGAGAGGTCTCATCTAGTTTTAACAACTTAGTATAATCTGTACTTTGTCCTCGGTGAGTTTGTCTGTGGCCTGTTCCACTCTTGTTGTCGTTAACTTGGAGGTTATGTTGCCCATGGTTTGCCATGCTTTGGCCTACTCCTAGCTCACCTGCATTGTGTATTTTCAGGGTTTTGTATCTGGTTCGTCACACTGTGCGTTGAGGTCATTCTCCGCCATGTGTTCCTTCACTCCAAGATCAGGAGCAGCAAACTTGTGTAGTGAAGTGATGTGAATATGGACAAATCTTCTGAGTGAGAAGTTCGCAGTCAGTGCTGTGATTATGTGTTTTAATAATAAGTCTGTACTTCAGTAAGTCGGTATTTTAGATTATTAGTCCAAAGTTCTGAATATGTTTGCAAGTAGCAAAACGGATCTGTTCAAGTCATGTAGTCTTTTCGTTGAGACATTTTGAGTTTGCGTTCACCTGGGTATTGGACCAATCTTGCCCAGTGTGTTTTAGTCATACCTTGGGAGAGGTTATCTTTGCACTCTTCAGTGAGTTAGTTAAGTTCTGTTGATTTGTATTGAATTTGTACGGTTCTTATTCGAGCTGTTGTTATTCTGTTGAAGCCAGTGCCCATGGCGTGCCCGTGCTGATTTTAATTTAGTTCTGTTTGTGAGTACCGTTGGTTCGGTTTGTTGGTATTTGTGATTATGTGTATGCATATGAGTATGGATTTGTATGGGCTTGAGTTTTGCCCTTTGTGTGAGTTCTGTGCTTGAGTTAAGTGTGATCTGTCCGTTATTAAAATGGTTGTTTCTGTTATTGTTAAATCGGTGTTCAGTTCAAGTAGCCTATTTCCTTTGATGGTGACTTTGTCGCCTGGCGCCCAAACATTTGTGAGATTATAAAGTCAAAGTTGATCACCCTCACCCACTCTACATCTAAGGCTTGCCGGTGCCTCCGTTTAACAATAGTCAGTCTTAGTCAGTCAGTAATTATGAGGCTACAGCCAGATGGATGGGAGAGAGAGAGAGAGAGAGAGAGAGAGAGACCTTAATTGCGTCCTCCTCGTCCTGCCGATCAACACAAGCAGGACTTCCCTCTCCCCGGCCGACCCACCGGCCACCCCGGCCATCTGGACCGTTCCTTGCGGTGGCCAGGAGACTAACTCCGCACTTCTCTCTCTCTCCCACTCTCTCTCTCTCTCTCTCTCTCTCTCTCTCTCTCTCTCTCTCTCTCTCTCTCTCTCTCTCTCTCTCTGAATCGCACCGCAGGTAAGAGTCTAACGACGCCTGTCGTCCACCCTCCGCCGGCGACCACCCCGTTTCGTCGGCAAGGCCTTGGCAATTGCCTGAAAAGTGGGCGAATCAGTTACAGTGGAGGGCTGTGGCGGGGCCTTGGCAAGGCGGAGGGAGGGGGTCTCCTGGAAAGCGGAAGGGCCGGCCAGTTGGTAACGAGCTGGGGCCCTTCCGAGTACCCGCACTTTACCGAATCGATCCGACGTGGATGATTGAAAGTCGCTAAAAAAACTATCTGGAAACTTTATATCTTCGATTTAACTACACGCCGTTGCAAGGAAACCCAGGCATGGAAGCAGGCCTGCATCCAAAAAAAAAGTTTCATGATTTTTTTTCCTTTTTTGGCTTTTTTTTTCGAGTGAAAAAAATTTTATACAAGAAAAATTTTTTGTTCTACAAGAAAAAAAAAGTTTGGCTCAAAAAAGAAATTTCTTGAAAAAAAAAGGAAAATTTAATTTTTTTTCATCCAAGAGGCCGTTTTTTGGGGTGTGGCATTTCGAGAAATGTGTGACTCGTTGGGAGTCACGGGAATTTAGTTGGCGCATGCTCGTTCTGGCATCAGTCAGTCAGCCGCGGCCACAGTATCGACAGATGACAGCACTAGCGACAGCCACATGACGAATCACACCCGTCCTCCCTTTTTCCTCCGGTTTTGACAGCGCTAGTGACAGATGCACGGTCCCGTATCAGCGCACTGTGTCGGGCGTTCTCATCCGCTTTGCTCTTTGTTTTGCCCTAGTCCTTTTCGGGGAGGTCATGTCCCAATGCGCTCCAATGATCCGACGGGCCTGGGAGAGCTTCCTGCACGCCGCCGTGCAGCGCACCGACCGATTTAGTCTCTCCGTCTCCCTCGCACTCGCACGGAGGGCCCCGTGAGGGTGACAGAGGCAGCGCGAGGCCTGGCTAGACTGGCTCGCAGAAAACGATTGGGAAAAGCGAGGAGAAAGACGTTGAAACAGAAAGGAAAAATCGGCCGAAGCGTGCGCAAGCAAGAAGAAAATGCCCGCCGCAGCAGACGAGAGAGAGAGAGAGGAGAGAGAGAGAGAGAGAGAGAGAGAGAGAGAGAGAGAGCGACGCCAAACGAGACAGACTGATAATAGGCCATGCCGCGCCACCCGGGCGGTGAAATTACTTTATGGAAAAATAAAGCAATTTGCTGTGTACCCCCGGCCGGCCCCGGCTGGCCCGGCCTGCGCTCGTTGCTCGTTGCGGGTCTTCTTGGCCTCCGGAGGGATGCGCGAAATGCGAGGGGCCTGCCAGGGCGGCCAGGGCGGCCAGGGGCGGGGTCGGCGCTATCGGAGTCATTCTAAGCCATTTAAACATCTCCGCAGTGATTGCGGGACACAACGCCGCGGCGTCGCCACCCCACTCGAGTTCATAATCCGAGTCGTTAACCCGCCCTTGTTCACTTTATCTCTCTCCCTCTCTCTCTCTCTCTCTCTCTCTCTCTCTCTCTCTCTCTCTCTCTCTCTCTCTCCGGCCAGGGGAAATTAGCGCCTCGGTGACTGGCCCGTCGTCGCCAGTCCGTCTCATCAGCCGAAGGCAGTGATTCGTGGAGGTGCAGCGGTGCGTGCAAAACGCGGTCCTAATAATTTGGAAAATTTGAAAACTAAGAAAACTTAGGAAACTTTTGCCAATGTTAGAAGTGGCGAAATTAAGGAGTGGGACATTCAGAGGTGGGAAATCCAGAAGTGGGGAGTTTCGAGGTGGGAAATTCTGAAGTTGGAAACTCAGAGACGGTGCACTAAAGCACTATCATCGTCCTTATTTTCCTCTTTCAGGAAAATGAGACCTCTGGAAGTCAAAGTCTTGCATTAAGAAACGCATTGAATGGGTGACGAGCCAGGGGACGACTCTTCATCGAGCGTTCCATAACTCCAAGAGTCGATTAGTTGGGGTCGATTCGGACTTGTTCGCTCACAAATTTTTCATGAGGGCCTTTCTGGTCAGGTCAAAAGGAACAGTGGGGCAGGTCAAACAAAAAATGGACTGAACTCCGTCACGTGGCTTTTGACCATCCCCAACGCAAAATACGCTTTTGTCGGCCGACAGGATGGGTCCCGCGTGGAGTGGTCATCAATTTCGGATTCTCTCTCTTCTTCTCTCTCTCTCTCTCTCTCTCTCTCTCTCTCTCTCTCTCTCTCTCTCTCTCGACAGGCAGCACCGCGATCGGTGAGACTGGTGCAAATCTACCGTCGCGCAAGTGGTCTAAATTTGGAGGCCGGCGGAGCGGCGAGGCGGCGAGGCCCTCGGAGTTACCTTAGCGGCCCAGACAGTCTGCGGACTGCCGCGCGATTCAAACCAGTCCTTCGTTGCTCTTTCTCTGTCGCTCCCGAGGTTACCTCCGTGAGGGCGCGAGAGAGACGGCTGTGTCCTCTCCCTACGTGGCGGGGCCGCGGCCGGGACGTCCCGACAGACGCGTCTCCAAATATAGACCCTTGTGAAGTGAACAGCGAGTGCGGAACTTTTCCGCTGTCGATTTCCTGCGCCGCGATCACAGAGAACACTGTAACCGTCCTGCACGCGGAGCCGACGCACAGTGGGGCAGAAGACCGGTGCAGTCGGCCAAAACTCTAGACGCGTCTTGAGCTCCAGAGTCGCTGTACAGGACTCGAACCGGACGTGTGACCCCACCAATGGATTGCTCTCCGAACGAGGAACCCTTTGGTGGGGTCAGACGCTCGGTTCGAGTCCCATTTAGCGACTCAGGAGCTGAAAACGCGACTAGAGTTTTGTCCGCCTCCACCGGTCTTCTGGCCCACTGTGCGACGGCACGGCGAGTTGGAATCACCAGAAGGGGTTTGATTGATCGCGGAGACTCGGAGACACTCTTAATTTCCGACGTGGAGCGACTGCGCTGTCTGCCGGCGACAGGGCGCGGACTGGAGAGCCACGGAAGCCGGCCAAGACAGGGGCTGCAGCAGAACCTCGAACCGTGGAACCACCCCGCGGGACCTGCCTGCAGGCCAGTCGAAGGCCAGTCGAAGGCCAGTCGAAGGCCAGTCGAAGGCCAGTCGAAGGCCAGTCGAAGGCCAGCGCCACTGAGCCCGTAACTGCAGCGGAGTCGCCCCACACTGTGAGTTACCGCCGTGTTGCCGGCGGCGTGTGAGCGCAGCTGGTCCTGGGCGTGGGGAAAGCCCTCGGGAAAGCGCGGGGAGGCTTGGCCTGGCCGGCGAGGCGAAGTGGCGCTGGCCCGCTCTTTTCCGGAACTTTTCTTCTTTCGCGTTCCGTGGTTCCAAAGCGCTGCCGAGGCGTTGCTGAGGCGAGGCGGACCAGGGCTGCACGCAATGAGTGCTTTCGTTGGCCGCGGCCCCGGCCTGCGGGCTTCTCTGTCTCTCTCGCACGCCGACTGGGCGCCCCGGCAGTGCGAGGACGATGGAGCAGGCCCGGAGGTTCTGGGGCCTCGACCTCCGCGTGGCACGGGCGACAAGCGACAAACGGGCGCCGATAACGCTGTCCAGCGGCACCTGAGTCATCGAAGCACGCCGCGCGGCTCGGCGGCGCAGCCGGGCGCAGCGCAGCGCACGACTAAATAACAAACGCCCCGCCATTTTATTTCACGGCATCGGCCTCACCTGTGCCGCACTTCTCTGTCCGTGTGCCGGGCTGTCTGTCTGTCTGTCTGCCCGCCTGCCCGCTGTCCGCTCGCCCGGCCGAACGCCTGCCGGGGTAGGCCAACCCGCCGAACACGCAGGCCCCCGGGTGGCCTACCCACACGGCGCTCCACTGCTTCTTTTTTTGCGTTTCAAAGCGGCAGTTCGCAGTGCAATCAGGGGGCGTGTGCAGGCGGGGCCCCGCGGGGGGTGGGTCCCCTGTCGGGTGACGGTCCGTCCGTGATGGTGCAGTGGCGCAGTCGGCGCAGGGAGGGGAACCTGTCGACCGGTAGAACGAGGAACGCTTTGGGAGGGAAAAAGATGCATGATGTCCAGCCAGCCAGCCTCCCACCCCATTTGCCAGGGGAGTGGTGCGGCCCCCTTTTCCCCGCCATTGGCTTGGTGCCGGCCGGCCTGGGTTATCGAAGCGACTTTGGGTTCCTTTCGGACTCGGCGCGGCGCGGCACGGCGCGGCACGGCGCCACATGTGCACTTTTGTATGATTTGTGCGACACTAAAACGCCTGCAGACACTTTCAATACGCCGAGTCAGGGGGCGGCCGCGCGGAGCGGCGCAGAGCGGTGTGAAGGCCCGAAGGGGGCGGTTTGAAACAACGGAGGGGAAAAGAAAGAGAGGGAGAGAGATAGAGACGGTCAATCGGACCGCGTCTCTCTGTCTGGCCGAGAAGGAGGCAAGGCGGCACGCTGACAAAGGCAGTGTGCGAAGGTCGGCCGCGGTATAACTCAGGGACCAGCCATTGTCTCGGAATCAATCCGACCACCCGGCACTCCCCCCCCCCCTTCTCTGTCGGCCGGACAGGGCGCATCAGCCATCCCTCGGCACTGCCTGACCTGCACCGCAGCTCTCCCTCTCGAGCGATAGGCTTTTCCCTTGCTTTCCCCTATTTCCCTCGTGGCGGTCCGCTCGACTGCGACCCGC